AGTCTTGTCTTTTCCAAGGTGCTATATTTTGTTTCGTATTGGATGAATTTTTTACTTATGTAATATATTGCACGTTCGACTTTTTCTACCTCTTGTGTTAACATGGCGCCTATGGCTATGTCTGTAACTGTAATGTATAGCTTAAGAGGTAGTTTGGGTACTGGTGGTGCTAAAATTTGTGGAATTTTGAGATAATCTTTGATTTTCTCAATGGCCTTTTGACATTGATCGTCCCATTCATGTTTCTCCTATTTTTTTCAATTTTTTAAATATTGGCTCACAAGTCATAGTCAATTTGTTGATAAATCGACTAATGTATTGTAATTTGCCAAGGAATCCCCTAACTTCTTTTTCTGTTTGAGGGGGAGGCATGTCAACAATTGCCTTTATTTTAGAGGGATCGATCTCGATGCCACGCGTGCTTACTACGTATCCGAGTAACTTACCAGAAGTTACTCCGAAGGCGCATTTTTTGTGAATTCAACGCATTTTATAATCTTTTATGCGAGTGAAAAATTTGCGTAAAGCTTTTATATGTCCCATTCTATATTTGGAATTTACGATCATATCATCCACATACACTTCTATTTCTTTATGCATCATATCATGCAAGAGAGTCGTAGTCGTTCTTTGGTACGTAGTTCCTGCATTTTTTAAACCAAATGGCATGACTGTGTAGCAATACATACCCCAAGGGGTAATAAAGCATGTCTTTTCTTCATCTTCTTTTACCATTAAAATTTGGTTGTAACCTGCGTATCCATCCATGAAGGATAACATCGCATGTTCAGCCATGTTATCTACCAATATATCAATATGTGGTAGAGGAAAATCGTCTTTAGGGCTAGCTTTATTAAAATCCCTAAATTCGACACACATGAGAACTCATCCATCCTTTTTAGAGACTGGAACGATGTTCGTTACCCATTCTTGGTAATTACATACGCGAATAAAACCGGCGTCCAACTGTTTTTGTAATTCTTCCTTTATTTTTATTGCGACATCAGGTTTCATTCGTCGAAGTTTTTATTTTACTGGTTTAGAAGTAGGGTTCAAGGGAATGGTATGTTCCGTGATTTCCCTATCTATTCCCGGCATGTCCTTGAATGACCAAGCAAACACGTCTTCGAATTCTTTGAGCATCGATATGAGGGTCGATCGCTCTTCCAGATTTAGAGTTAAGCCAATTTTGACTTCCTTCTTATTTTCGTTAGTTCCTATATTAACTATTTTAGTTTCTTTAACTATAGGGCTCTTTTGATCTCGTTTATTCATTAGTTCAACCAATTTATTAATGTTATCATCTTCATTAGATTGATTGTTATAGCATTCGAAAGATTCAAGAGAAGGCATATACTCGGAAATAGAGCTCATATTATTAAAATCAAAAGAGAGTACATCAAGAGAAGACTCCTTTTGGGATCTTCGTCCTTAGAACGAGAAAATAAAGACTCAGTAATGGCCACAAGGCCTAAATTTTTCAGCTTCCCTAGAGTCTATAATAGATTCATCGTCCGATTCTTCAAACATCTTCCCTTAGCCTGTGACGATTTCCAGTTTATCGCCTTTGTGATTGATCCATTTGAAATATTTCCTCCATCCACGCGCAAAAGTTTCTTTTAAAGGGGTGATCAACGAGGTTGGGTCAAAAGCTTCATCTTGAATGGCGTTTTAATTGGTCATTAATGCGACATGATTTTGCTCTAGTCCAAATATCAACTTAAATGCTTGCCCATCATAGCACCCTAGAGTTGGGTGTTTTGATTTAACGATACTAAGATCGTCATCCAAGTAGTAGAAATCATGAAATATTTCAAATCCAGGCTTCTTGATTCCTTCCAAAACTAAGGCTTCCGGAAAGTCGTAGAATGGGTAATCTTCTCCCTCCCTAATGAATTGTCCATTAAGGGTTTGTTGATAGGATGGGAGTAAAGTGATTATCCCTTTCTTATTATTGTCTCTACGTGCTTTGTTTTTTGCATCGTGAGACTCCAATTCTTCTTTGGTTGGTTTTATCCCAATCCAAAGGAGAAGCTTTTCTTTGGTATAAGAATTAAGAGAGATTTCTTCATTCCTATTCCCAAAGGCATCCCAGGAAAGTAACTACTCTTGAGCAAGATGTTGTTTACTATCCGAGTGGAATATCGATCAAGCTTGAATGGCTCTTCAAAGTCTTCTTCCATTTCAATTGTGAAGATTGGCTCCACTGCGAATCCCCTCAAGTCCTCTTCATTATTATCATGGTTTATTTCTAAGAGTGATTGATCATTTATTGCTATTTTGAGTGGAGAAGCATGTAGAGTCTTTGGAAGCCCTTAATAGTTCAACCTAATCATTTGATGAAGTGAGGATGGTATTGCACCAAGCTCATGTATCCAAGGACGTCCAAGTAAAAGGTTGAATGTAGGTTTTATGTCCATAACATAGAATTCAACCATCTTTTGAATTGGGCCTGTGGTAATTGGTAGCTTAACAGTTCCACACGCCGATCTTCTCAAATTGTCATAGGCCCTAATGCTTTGCTTTGCTGATTGGAAATCTTTTTCTGGATTTAGGCCTAAGTATTTTGCCGTTTGTAATGGGCATACGTTTACAGCCAACCTATTGTCTACCAAAGTTAGAGGGATATTGTATCCCTTGCATCCCACAGTTAATTATAACACATTGTTGTGGGTAGTGTCTTTTGAAGGCAAATCATCATTAGTGAAAATGATTGACTTGTCAGATTTCTCGCTAGTAAGCAAGCTAACGAGGTCCTGAGGGGTTGTGTTTGTACTTACAGACAAAGCCGTTAGAACGTTCATGAGAGAATTCCTATGCTCTTTAGAAGTACTTAGGAGTTCCCAAATGCTAACATTCGCCTTGGATTGACGAAGTTGTTTAACCAATGGATCTTCCACTTAAAGTGGAGGTGGTATTGTATTTTGTGTTTGACCTTGAGTTTGATTTTGTGTGGTCAAAGATCCATTTGGTGGTGGTGCTTGGTAGACTCGCCCAGAAAGAGTTAAATGATCTATCTCATTTGGGTTAGTCATAGGACTCATAAACCAACTTTCTTCTAGAGGCTTTGGATGTGCCTCCATTTCAAGATGTTCCATGAGTTGTGCTTGATGCCATTATTCATCCAAGAAGAGATTCGATAAATCTTGCGATTTCCCCAAGAAATGATCCCAATCAAGCGCTCCATTTGTTTCATTTTGTAAACAAGATGGAGGTTTGACAGCGGCATACTTAGAGACAAATAAGTCCTGAAAGTCATCGTCCCATAGTCCACATACTTCATTAGTTGCCCCTATGAGTATTGTGGATAGAGGTTCTCTTATAGGTGTGATATAGTCTAAAGGATTGAACATATCACTTCCCATATGGTCTTTATCGATGTGAAACACCCCTAAGGGGGATGCATTATTGTTCGGTTTAGGCGTGGGAATTCTCCCGTCGTCTACTAAATCTTGTATTTTTTTCTTTAAAACATAGCAACGTTCGAGCACTACCATTCCATTGGGGAAACCTCCTTTTTGGTGGAATGGGTGGTGTTGGCCCTGTTGACGCAAGTAAGCCTTTTTCATATAATTTTCAAACAATTCTTTATAGCTTACAGGAAATGAAGTAAATTTTCTCTCTTTTATCCATCTTTTTTTAGGATCATCATATCGATTTGTGTTATTGTATTGCGTGGAATTCGCAAATACGTCAATAAAGGATGATGCATTATCATTCCCCTTCTTGTAGTAATTCTTAGGTTGATAATGATAATGAGGTTTGTTTGCTTTTTCTTTAGCAAGATCTTCTTCAATCCTTGTAGCCACATAATAGACCTTTAGAAAAGTGTCTAGACCAAGGTAACGTTGATGTTTGCTGTACTTTTCATGACAGTTGTCAATGAATTTTTGTACTAACTCGAGTTCAGGAGGCCTTTGGGCAAGGTGGGCCGCCTTTTCTTGCCATCTACCATAGAAAGCAAGTGATGCAAGTCTAAGCATGGAGAACTTCGAAGATTTGCTTATCATGCATCAACATAGCTTGTCCCTAAACATTGATTCAAGCAAAGCATTGCATGGAAACTTTCTTGGATATCAAATCAAAGCCACGGTTTGCTTAGTGGTTTTTCTTGGAGTCTAGTTCACTTTCTTGAACTTTCTTGAATTTTCTTTACTTAGATTTTGCTTACAAGTTTTTACCTTTCACTTGAAAGGGTTTTTCTTGGTTCAAGCATTAGGACCTTTAATCTTTATTTAGTTCTTTAATTTTTATTTATTTATTTAGTTGCTTTAAAAATCAGTTAGCTAGCAAAATAAATTAGTTTAGACGTGTGCTTGTTCTCCAAGGAGTTTGGTGTATGCTTGTGCGCCAAGGTGCTTGCTCTTCAAGCAAGTTAGAATTGTAGTTTAATTAAGATTGAATTAGGAACTTGTCCTAATCTTCCTAGGTAAACTAAGTCTGATAAATGGGGCTGTAAAACACACGAATTATAGAGAGATTTATATTCAGATTTATTTCTTAAGTTGCATACTTGAGTTTTTGTTGATTGCGATCAATTGTTGTTTTGCTTGTTTTAGTTAAAACATTCGTTTGGATTGATTAATTAGGTGGATTCTTAATTGATTAATCTTAGCTTTTGTTTAATTCTTGGTAGATTTCCTGTATAGAATTAGAGTTAACCATATCCCTTGTGTTTTGTTGATTTTCGGATCAATAATTCACATCATCTTTGGTATCAGAGCAGGTTTGCGCAACTTCGGTAAAAATTAAACTGGGAACAATTGGCTAGGAAGTTTTACGTGATTCTTTTTTCATTGAACTCTAAAAACGTCCAGCTATCACCATTTAAAATTTCATAATTTTTAGTTGAGTAACATGTTCTACACATCCTCAAACGTTTGGTGTTTGTGCACTGATTTGCGGTTGGGAGTCCGGTTTTTGTGTTGCCTAGTTTTCCTTCAAGATTCGATCTTTTAATCAAGATTTTTGCATGAACTGACTTGGTTTGTGTAGGAATCATGAGTGACGAGGAGGTTCTACAGGTTCCAAGGGGATTAACCTTAGAACAGGCTCAAAATCTTAGAAGAGATAGGCGAATTGACGAGTTGGCAGCAAGGATGGATGAGATATTAAAAAGGCTTGATACTCTTGCTGGAGATTCTTCAAGGAAAGGGAATTCTAAATCTAGTTCTGGTTCAAGTGAGGGAGAACAACCAAGGAGGAACCCAAGGAGGCCACGAAATAATTATTCCTCAAGTGATGAATCACCAAGGCCTAGGAGAAGAGATCGACCAAAGGATGATGATAGGAACCTTAGATTAGATCTTCCCGAATTCAATGGGAGTATGAATGAACATGAAAAATACTTTGAGTGGATTAGAAGGGCCGAGACACTCTTTGATTACAAGGAGTATGATGAAAGGAAAAGATGCAAATTGGCTGAATTAAAACTGACCGGTTATGCTAGTCTTTGGTACGATAATCTGAAGAAGAAGAGGCATAAGGAGGGGCGTGCAAGAATCTCAACTTGGGAACAACTCAAGAAGCATATGAAAAAAAGGTTCGTACCTAGTGATTATATTCAAGATGTTTATCTTAAGATGCAACTTTTTAAACAAAATTCTATGACTGTTGAGAATTATATTGGTGAATTTGAAAAGTTATGCATGGTATGTGGCTTAAAAGAGATTGTTGAGCATAAGATTGCTAGATTTATTTCGGGGTTGAATGATAATATTGCTGAAAAAGTTGAATTGCAACAATATTGGTCCTTTGAGGATGTTTGCAAGGTAGCTTTGAAAGTTGAAAAACATATAAAGGGGAAGAAAGGGACGTACACTAAGTCCTTTGGAAAAGGTTTCACTAAACCTTTTGAGAGGAACAGCTTGGAGAAAAGTGGTTCTAGTTCGAACTACAAGGAGACTAAATCAAAATTTGAAGCTCCTAAAAAGCTTGTTGAAGATAGGAAGTGCTTCAAGTGTGGTAGTGTTGGTCACATTGCAACTAATTGTCCATCAAAAAGAGTAATGACTGCTCAAGAGTGGGAGCAAGAACAAGCTAAGTGTGAGCAAGGTAGTGACTATGTAGAAAAAAACGAAGAGGAAAACTTTGAAGAAGAGGAGGGGCATATTGACGAAATTGATCCCGAGACTCATGGTCAAAGTTTGGTTCTAAGAAGGGCACTACACTCTAAAACCGTACCTATGGAAAACAATCAAAGGGAGAAAATCTTTCTTACAAGGTACAAGGTAGATGATAGGTTGTGTGACATGATCATAGACACGGGGAGTTGCACTAATGTGGTATCTACTACTTTGGTAGACAAATTGACGTGGCCAATTACTGAACATCCAAGCCCTTATAAGCTTCATTGGCTTAATAATTCGAGTGATGTTAAGGTAACTAAACAAGCCTTAATCTCCTTTTCAATTGGTAAATTTCATGATAAAGTTTTGTGTGATGTTTGTCCTATGGATGCTTGTCATATACTGTTAGGCCGTCCTTGGCAATATGATAGATTTGTGAAGTTTGATGGAAGGACTAATGTGTATGTTGTGAGAAAAGGAGAAAAAGAGAGACCGGTTGCTTTAAAACCTTTGATAAGCAACAAGTCTTCTAATGTTACCTCTAATTCGAAGAGTTCTTATTTGATTAGTGAGAGGGAATTAGAAAAAGAAATTTGCAGCAACAATGTTGTATATATACTTGTTTCTAATGAGATTCGAATTGATCAAAATAAACAAGCAAAGATGCCGTATGAATTGGAATTTGTTTTAGAAGAATTCAAGGATGTCTTTTCTAAGGAATTACCTCCGGGACTACCTCCTATTCGTGGGATAGAGCATCAAATTGACTTGATTCCGGGAGCACCATTACCTAATAAGGCAGCCTATAGAAGTAATCCGGAAGAAACAAAGGAGATGCAAAGGCAAATGGAAGAGCTTATGGCTAGAGGATACGTAAGGGAAAGTATGAGTCCTTGTGCCGTTCCTACTTTACTTGTTCCAAAGAAGGATGGGAGTTGGCGCATGTGTATTGATAGTAGGAGTGTGAATAACATCACTATCAAATACCGATTTCCTATTCCAAGGTTAGATGATCTACTTGATGAACTACATGGTTCAAAGTTGTTTTCTAAGATTGATCTTATGAGTGGTTATCATCAAATTCGAATGAGAGAAGGAGATGAGTGGAAGACAGAATTCAAGACTAAGTTAGGGTTTTATGAATGGATGGTGATGCCGTTTGGACTCACTAATGCACCTAGCACTTTCATGAGGTTGATGCATGAGGTACTTAAACCTTTCCTTGGCAAGTTTGTTGTTGTTTATTTAGATGATATTCTGATATACTCTAAAAATTTGCATGATCATCTAAATCATCTAACAAGTGTGTTTGAAGTGTTAAGAGAGAAGAAACTCTATGCTAAGCTTGAAAAATGCTACTTCTTAGTGCCTAGAGTTACTTTTCTTGGTTATGTTGTATCAAAAGATGGAGTTTCAGTTGATCATTCGAAAGTAGAGGCTATTAAAACTTGGCCTATTCCTACTAATATGAGTGAATTAAGGTCTTTTCATGGTCTACCTTCGTTCTATAGAAGATTTGTCAAGAATTTCTCAGGTATTGTGGCGCCTATGACCGAATGTTTAAAGAAGGACAAGGGTAAATTCGAATGAACTATAGAAGCTCAAAGTGCGTTTGAGTTGGTTAAAAAGAAGCTATGTGAAGCACCTATACTTGCGTTACCAGATTTCTCAAGTCCTTTTGAAGTTGAAACCGTTGCTAGTGGAGTTGGAATTGGAGCAGTTTTACTCCAAAAGAAGAGGCCTATTGCATATTTCACTGAGAAATTGGGAGGAGCTCGATTGAACTATTCTACTTATGATAAAGAGTTCTATGCCATTGTTAGAGCTTTAGATCATTGGAGTCATTATCTCCGACCTAATCACTTTGTGTTGCATTCTGATCATGAAGCATTGAAGTACATACATGGACAACAAAAGCTCAACCCTAGACATGCTACGTGGGTTGAATTTTTACAATCATTTAATTTTTCTTCAAGGTACAAGAAGGGAAATCGAATGTTGTGGCTGATGCATTATCTACAAGATACACTTTGATTGGAATTCTAAATAGCAAGCTACTTGGTTTTGAATTGATCAAAGAATACTATAAAAGTGATGATGATTTTGCTACATTGATTGAAGAGTGTTCTAAAGGAGCCGTGGGTTCTTATTTGCTGCAAGATGGTTTTCTTTTCAAAGGAAATTGACTTTGTCTTTCTAAGTGTTCTATTAGAGAGCTAGTTGTTAGAGAAGCTCATGGGGGAGGAATTGCTGGTCACTTTGGCATTACAAAGACCTTGAGTATGTTACAAGAACACTTTTATTGGCCTAAGATGCTCACAGATGTGCAACTAGTTATTTCTAGGTGTGCAACTTGTCAAAAAGCGAAGCCTACTTTTCATCAAGGCTTGTATACTCCTTTACTTGTTCCAGATTCACCTTGGGAAGATATTGACAAGCGCACATTAGGGCGCGCTTTAAGGCATATAAATGGGTGATTTTGGATGTATTTAGGTCCGTTTTGGTCGTTTATTGCCTTGTTACACTCGTTTCCTTCATATTACGTGCTTCACGGGTTTCGGTCTGTTTTTGGTGTGTTAAAAGGTATAGTTGACCAAGTTATGTCGAGTCCTGAACCATTGGTGCGTAATCAGGCTATTATCGATCCTAGTCCACCAAGCTAAGGCTTTGCTGCGCTTCTCAAGGCCTTGAAAGGCAAGTTAAGTAGCAGGCAAGGAAGAACAAATCACAAATATGACACCTGTTCACTATTTTGCTCACAACTTTCGGTATAGAAATGATAATGGAGTGATTCCAATTGCATTGGAAAGTAGACTTGAAGAGATTTCCAACGATATATTGCACGCCTCAAACGGAGCTCTGGAAAAGAAGTTGTGACTGTTTTAAGAAGACCAAAGTGCCTGCAACCTTCCTGCCTATGCTGCACGGCCGTGCCAGATTCAGCACAACCGTGCCAGGCATTAGCACGGCCGTGCCAAGCCAATTTCCATGCCCGTGCCAGTGCCAGATTCAGCACGGCCGTGCCAGATTCAGCACGGCCGTGCCAGGCATTAGCACGGTCGTGCCAGATTCAGCACGGCCGTGCCAGGCATTAGCACGGCCGTGCCAAATTCAGCACGGCCGTGCCATAATTGAAGATATTGCGGATCAGCTACTGCCATGCTTGCACGGCCGTGCCACTTCCAGCACGGCCGTGCCGATTCACGAAGGGCAGCCTGCGATTTACTTTCCGATTAAAAACATATATATATAGCCCGATTGTAAGGGTTAAGAGACAGTTTTAGAGATAGTTTTGAGAGCCTTTGTAGAGAGTTATTGAAGAACGTTCTTAGTTTTAGATATTCATTAGTTTTCTTAGAGATTATTCTAGCGATTTTAGTTTTCTTGGATTGATTTGAAGCAAGATTTGTGAAGATTCTTTGTATTATTCATTGATGACGGATATCAAAGTTCTGAACTTTTCCATTGATTCGCATCAATACAATTGGTATTATTCATTCTTGTTTATTAATCAAGCTTTATTATTCCTTAATCAGAATTCATGTTTATATCTATTATGCTTTTGGAATTCATTATTGCTTTGATTATGAATATGTGTGAGTAGTCTCCTAGCTAGGGTTTCGGGATGAAACCCGGCCTAGGTAATCTATGTAATTGAGGATTGATTTTGATAAACGGATTGTGATTAAATTGATTATATGCGTGCATGTTAATTCATTATAATAGGAGTAGCTAACCTAGAATCTTGAATTTGATTGCATGATATCCTTGATTTGAACAAGAGATTGTGAATTGAGTATTTCATTATTGAATGTGGTTTGATTATGTATCGAGTAATGTTAAGTGCATGAGAAATCCAAGCTTAGTATTGCCCGTTGTCTTCCTATCACATGATATTGATCAGACATATAGTCTTTGCATATCCCGTTTGTCCCTGTGATTCCTTGTTGCGTAGTTACCAATGGTTTGGTGAATTCCCGTTCTCCCTAGTGTCTTAGTTTATTGATTTATTCCATCTTATTAGTAGTATTTTAGAACACCATTTTCCATTGATTTCGAACTAGCTTAGGTATTGATTTGCAATTACTCTCGTTCCTCGTGGACCGAACCTTTATTTGCCATTGTACTTGGTTATAGGGTGTTCGTATAAGTATTGTTTGATTGAGAGTTAGATTGTAGCGACCGATTTAACCCTTGTCAAAATGGCGCCGTTGCCGGGGAACGGTGTTTGTTAATTGCTTTTTGATTTCTTGAGTCTAGTTCATCATAAAAAAGCACAAAAAGATTTTTCCCTTTTGGCTACACTTGTAGCCCTGCTATTTAATTGGTTTGGTTAGTGTGTATGCGCAGTTCTAAACAGAGAGAATTAATACCCTTCGATCCAGAAATCGAAACAACTTTGAAGAGCAATCGTAAATATCGATTGACGTCATCAAACTCTCAAGGAAAGGAACACAACACACAACAGGTTCCAATGGCAGACATACCGCGCCAACCCAATCGGCCAGCACCACGACCCCTTAAGGAGTTGGGAACTCCTGGGGCGTATAGAGCTTCAAGTGGGATTGCTCCACCCACTACTGAGGCCAATGATTTCGAGATCCGGCCGGCTATGATCACCCTCATCGAGAGAAGGCAGTTTAGTGGTGCCAAGCATGAGAGCCCTTTTGCTCATTTGAACGAATTTGAGAAGTACTGCAATACCATCAAGGTTAATGGGTGAATCAAGAGTTCGTGAGATTGAAGCTTTTCCCCTTTTCACTTATTGGGAGAGCTCTCGAATGGTTAGAGAAGGAGGTGAAGCCGAACTTTCTACACACTTGGGATGATGTCACGACATCATTCTTGGGAAGATTTTATTCCCAAAAGAAGACGGCCGATGTTAGAGCTTTGATCCAGGGATTTCGGCAAAGGAGTGGGGAGTCAATCAACGAAGCATGGTAAAGGTACAAGGAGTATCAAAGAGAGTTCCCACACCACGGAATCCCAACATATCAAGTTTTACAGATTTTCTATGGAGGATTGAGTCCTCAAGGGAAGACCAGTTTGGATGCGGGAGCAGGTGGCCCCATTATGAACAAAACCGAAGAAGAAGTCATTGATATCATAGAAGATATGGTACGACACCACATGGATTGGCAAGACGGCGAGCGAGATGCTGTGAACAAGAGTGGAGAAGCGGTCTATTCAGTGGACCACCTCAATGCCATTAGCAACCTGACATCACAAATTACGAACCTCGGGAAGGAGATGTCAGTGATTAAAGCCAAGCTCGATTCCGTGCCATTGCAAGATCTTCCCTCCCAATCTAAGGGGAGAGGTATGAATCCTAATCCTTCCGTTTCTAATATGCCTGTAGGATGTATTTTCTGTGAAAACTGTGGGTCTTATGATCATTATACTAATGCTTGTAATTTTGATCCCTCATATGATCCTAATAATAATGATGGTAATAGATATAATAATGAACAGGTCAATGCTATGTCTTATGATAACGGACCTAGGAATGACAATAATAGATATATGCCACCTAATCAAAGAGGGAACAATTATAATCAGGGAGGTAATGATTTTGATTATCAAAACCAGTGGGGAAATAGGGGCCAAAGGGACCAAAATTCCCAAGGACCCTATAATCAACATGGTGGTTTTGGAAATCAAAACCAATACCAACAGGGTAATCAAATGAATCATAATTCCCAAGGGCAATTCAATCAAGGGGGAAATGACATTAATAACAGGGGAAACTGGAATAATAATAAGGGGTACTCTAATCAAAATCCCCAACAATCTAATGTGCGTGGTTCCCGAGCTACAAATGATAATTATTATGCTCATGGACCACCACAGAGATCTAGCTTGGAGGAAATGATGGAGTCCCAGGCCAAAATGTTCAACACTTTTATGTCCACCACTGATAAAAAGTTTAGTGAAGTGATGACACATAATAAGATGCTTGAAACCCAGATTTCTCAGTTGGCTAGTGCTATAAAAGATGGGGTTGGAGTTTCAAAACTACCGCCTCAAGGTATTGACCCTAAAAACTCTGTAAATGCTATCACCACTAGGAGTGGAAAGACATCGAGGGGGAGCGATGAAGTAGTACCCCCTAGGAGTCAACATGTGACTCCACCTATCACTGATAATGTTGTAGGAAGTGAGGATGAGAGGACCAGAGAAAAAGATAAAATTAATGAGGTCCCAAAGGAACAGGTGGGAGCACAAACCAATGAACCCGACCTATTACATAGACTCCCCTACCCCCAAAAATATGTGAGACATAAGCTAGATGCCCAATTCGGGAAGTTTTTAGAGACCTTGAGAGAAGTCCACCTTTCTATACCATTCACTGATGCTATCAAGCAAATGCCTAACTATGCTAGGTTTTTAAAAGATATATTGAGTGGTAGAAGAAACTGTGAAGGGGTAGAAACTGTTAACCTCACTGAACACTGTAGTGCTATAATAATGAACAAAATGCCTCCTAAGTTAGGAGATCCGGGTAGCTTTTCAATCCCTTGTGCTATAAACAAAATGAATATTGATAATGCTTTGTGTGATCTTGGAGCTAGTGTTAGTCTCATGCCATATTCTGTTTATCAACGATTAAATATAGGAGAACTTCTTCCCACTAACATATCCCTTCAATTAGCCGATTGATCGATCAAATTTCCAAAGGGTAAAGTGGAAGATGTTCCCCTAAGGGTGGGGAAGTTTGTCATACCTGTTGACTTTGTGGTTCTAGATATGGATGAGGATGTTCATATACCTATAATTCTAGGACGTCCTTTCCTAGCTACTTCGGGGGCCCTTATTGATGTAAAGGGTGCCAAGATTTCATTGAAAGTAGGAAAGGAGGTTTTAGATTTTGATTTAAATAAAACTATGAAATATCCTTGTTCTAATTCTGATAATTGCATGATGGTTGACACTGTTGATTCCATTGTCTCTGATATGCGTAACGAATTATTCTATACTAATCATGATTTTGAGTTGAATGAGAACAAGGAAAACAGGGACATGGAGGAGCAATTTCTAGATTCATTAGATGTGGCCACTGCAAAGGAGGCTAATGAAGCACCAAAGGTAAAGCTTAAACCCCTTCCAACACATCAAGGAAGGGTTTCCCCTGTGTTTGTAGTACCTAAGAAAGGGGCGGTGACTATTGTCAAGAATAAGAATGGTG